ACAAGAGAAGATTGGCAGGTGGGTGGCCAGTGGGGGTGGAGGGGGGGTCATCGCTTGCCCGCTTGCCCGCTGACGCTTCTTTTGCTCCCCGGCAGTTTTCCGTCAACTTGTTCCGGACCCTTCCGCCCTCGTCCAACCCCGCGGGAGCGGAGTTTGACCCCGAGGAGGACGAGCCCACGCTGGAGGCCGCCTGGCCGCATCTGCAGGTCGTCGCTCTCGCCGGCGGACCGGACGCGACGCGGCGTGCGCAAACGTACAACGCCTGCTGTGATCTTTCTTCCCTCAGCTGGTTTACGAGTTCTTCCTTCGCTTCCTGGAGTCTCCGGACTTCCAAGCCAACGTGGCCAAAAAATACATGGACCAAAACTTTGTCTTGTCGGTAAGATCCCGGACCCCGACCGAAACGGCGCCGCGGGCCGGCCGCTCGGCCTCGCTCGGGACTCCCGGGCCCGGTACGCGCACAAGCGGTTTTGAAGTCCGCGAGGACTCAAGGCCACACGCACGGATGAGAAATCGGCCGCTGTAGAGTTTTTTCCGGTTCCGCGTCGGCTGCGCTCCCACCCGCGAAGCGCAGACTCGGTCCCGCCGTCCATCTCCAAATGAGTCCTCCGAGGCTGAAATCTCCCAAAAACCGAGAAGGGCGAAATTGCAAAACATCTCTCGGCTTTCCCCCCCCCCGAATGTCATGTCATGTCATTAAAAAAAAAGAAAAGCGCAAGACGACAGTGGACAAAATGTTGGCGACAGCAGAAAGCGCCCTTGAATGAGCAAGGTGTGTTTTGGGCAGGACGGGTGCGGTTTGGATTTTGGAGCGCTTCCTTGGCGCTCGCTCGGGTGGCTTCGTTGATCGGCTGCGTTGGGTCGAGAGGTGCCGTCTTTCCGCACGCGTGAAATCGCAATTATTGAACGCCTTCCATATCGAGATTGTCGCCCTGGCCCAAGTGGGCAACAGTTTGGAAAAAAAAAAAAAAAGGTTGAGTTTGATTTCTGAAACTGATTAAAACTCCAATTGTCATTCCGCTCCCCCAATTTTTTTTTTTTTTATCTCCTGGCTTCTCCAGTTTTTTTTCTCCAGCGCTGACAGTCCAGAGAAGCAAATTTCCACCGATTGGCTGCAATAAGAAAAGCCGATGAGGGTTGGGCTCCTCTCCAGCTTGACGCAACCCGTTTGCGCGGTCCCAATTGCGGCGCTGCGGAGCGAGGTCCCGCGAGGTCACCGCCGTCCAAATCCGTCAACGGAAAGCTCGCAATTGAGAGGACGGATGCCGCCTCGTCACCGCGGCCGTACTGCCGGAAGTTCAATTTCATTTCACGCCGGTTTCCGAAGCGTGTGAGCGTGTTTCCTGTCGCGCGCTGATTTTAATGGAAAAGAAAATGGAGACCTGGAAAAAAAAAAAAAAGCTCCACTCTCAGTTCGATGCGCGCGGAAGCGGCCGAGCCCGAGCGACATCTTCCGCTTGTCTTGCGCTCGTCCGCTTTGAGCTCGAAGGCGGGCGGGCGCCTTTGGCTCTTTTGCAGCTTCTGGAGCTGCTGGACAGCGAGGATCCTCGCGAAAGGGACTTCCTGAAGACCATCCTGCACCGCATCTACGGCAAGTTCCTGGGCCTGCGCGCGTACGTCCGGCGGCAGATCAACAACGTCTTCTACAGGTCGGCGGCGCCGCGGCGGCTCGCGTCCCGCCGCCGCGCCGCCGCTCACGGATCTTTGTCCCGCTCAGGTTCATCTACGAGACGGAACGTCACAACGGAATCGCGGAGCTCCTGGAGATCCTCGGGAGGTACGCCGGCAACACCCGGCACGCCGCAATGGAGATGGGGGGGGACCCGCCCTTTGACCCGCCCGCCTCTTTTGCAGCATCATCAACGGCTTCGCTCTTCCGCTCAAAGAAGAACACAAAATGTTCCTGATCCGGGTCCTCCTCCCCCTTCATAAGGTCAAGTCCCTCAGCGTCTACCACCCGCAGGTCAGTGGCCCTCCTCGCAACGCCCCGCGCGCGCTTCCCGGTGGCGGCGCCGCCGAACCGAGTCTCGCTGAGCGAGTGGCGGTCATTTTGAGAAAAGGGGAAGTGGCGCCGCAGTCCAACTTTTCTCACCTGAAATTGGGAGGGGGGGGGGGCGCGCGTTCCAAGTCAATGTCCGCCGTTTTTCACCGTCTGACGGAAGAACGGGCACCGCTGTGGGGCAAAAAGAAAAAAACATCAATCGGTCACCCGTGCCAGTGGATGAAAACTTGAATCGCGTCTGTCATTTTCGGGGTCAAAAGTCTGATGTCGGTTTGCTCGTCCCTCGACGAGCGGCTGCTCGCATTCCGCTGGATTTGTTTGCAGTTTTTGTGTCTTCGGGAGTGCAAATCCAGCACGTTTTTGTCCCGGTTTTGCACTCGAGGTGCGCGCTCGGCAGTCGCCGCTGTATTCTACCAGCGGGAGGTTCCCCCCTCGCTCACCGCGTCTCCTTGACAAACGCGGGGAAAGGCGCTCGGCAAGTCACCGGCCGCTCGCGCGTGTTTTCAGCTGGCGTACTGTGTGGTGCGGTTCCTGGAGAAGGACGGCAGTCTGACGGAACCGGTGAGTGGCCTCCGGTCCGCCTCGCGTCCTTTGCCGCGCCGGCCAGAAGGAGGCGCTAACGCCGGAACCTCTGTGAACTCCGAGGTGATCGCGGGCCTGCTCAAGTTGTGGCCCAAGACGCACAGTCCCAAGGAGGTGATGTTCCTCAACGAGCTGGAGGAAATCCTGGACGTCATGGAACCCGCCCAGTTCGTCAAAGTCCACCGGCCGCTCTTCCGCCAGCTGGCCAAGTGTGTCTCCAGCGCGCACTTCCAGGTAGGAGGCTTCCCGCGCTCTTCCAACGGCTTCGCCGAGGCAAAGACGGCGCGACGCAAAGTTTCGCGCGAGCGGGGGCCGGTTTGACGCCGAGGGGCCTCCGCCCGTCCGTCGACGGCCGGACGGGGCGTCCCCTCGGTCTCGGTCTTTCCCGCGCCTGGCCCCGCGTCGCAACGTGTTTTTGGACTGAGCCCGCAAACATTCCAAGGCGAGTCGAGTCCCGCGGCACGCCGATGACGACGCCGGCCGCGCGCTTGCGCTCAGGTGGCCGAACGCGCTCTCTACTACTGGAACAACGACTACATCATGAGCTTGATCAGCGACAACGCCGCCAGCATTCTTCCCATCATGTTTCCTGCTCTCTACAAGAACTCCAACAGCCACTGGAACAAGTAACGCGCGCACGCACGCACGCACGCGCGACCGGAGAGGAAGTTACGTGAAGCGCTCTTGTGTGTCTCAGGACCATCCACGGCCTGATCTACAACGCTCTCAAACTCTTCATGGAGATGAACCAGAAACTCTTTGACGACTGCACGCAACAGTACAAAAGCGACAAACACAAGTGAGAAGGCGGCGAAGGCGCCTGCGCCGGCTGCCCCCAACTCAACACGGCGCTCGCTCGCTTGCTGCGTTTGCAGGGAAAAGCACAAGATGAAGGAGCGAGAGCAAATGTGGAGCAAACTGGAAGAACTGGCCAGACGCAACCCTCGGGTAGGTTTGGCGCCGCGCCGCCTTGCGGAGGAACGGGCTTCGGGCACCTCCCTACCTCCTCCAACCTTCCAAAAGAGCGCGCTTTCGGCGTTCGAGGAAGGCGCCTTTGTGTGACTTTGACATGATGTGCGTCGGCTTTCCCTCAGAGTGATGAGCTCCTCCCCCCGCGCCCCGGACTCCACGCGCAGGAAGCGGTTAGTTCCTTCCCGCCGCCGCCGCCGTCGTCCTCATGTGCTTGTCTCTCTGATGGCGTCGCGCGTTCTCCCCGGAGAGCGCTCGCAACGCGCTCACCGACCTTTCCGCATCACGTGCGAAAACGGACGAGAAAAAAAAGCCACGCCGTCTGCCACATTTGCCGTGTTTGGAAAAATGGGCACCAAAGAGGAAGCCTGACGTCAAGTGGCCGCCGTCTCGATTGATTGGATGTTCGTTCTTGATTTGGGAGAGCCTGCTCACAAATCAATTCATGACACACACTCGAGTTGACATGACGCCGCGGGCCAGTTCCGTCTTTTTCGCCCACCCGCGCGCGGCACGAAGCGATGTTGGGATTGTTCCCGGCCCGAGCCGGCCGGGCCTCTTGGATCCGGTGATCGGCTCGGTCGGGTGCCGTGCGTCTGACAGTTGCTATGCCAACCGAAGCTACTTAACTGGGCATCATGCAAGTGTGCCGGCTGGCCCCGCCCCTTCTCACCACCGCTCTTCGGTTGGGTTTTTAGGGCAGGTGGCACTAAACGTGGACAAGCGCTGGCAATTTGGCAGCCAATCGGACGAGGCGGGTGGGGGGGGGCACCTTTGATCGTTTGACTCCATCTTGAAGGTATTTTTGCACCGCATTTTCTCGAGGCCACGTGGCACAAAAAGACAACTTTTTTTCAGGAATCTGTCATCCAGTTTTCAAAATTCTTTTTGACAGGCTGCCTCTCATCACGTTGTCGATGGGAGTGATCGGGAACTCAGGAAGGAGCGTTGGCACGCGCTTGGCATTCCTGACTCCCAGATCACTCCAAAGGGATTTCGAGCCCGCATTTTCATGTTCAACGTTTTGCGGGAAGTCTTGTCATGTCATGTCGCGCGACTTGAGGGAAATTGACTGCATTGCTCGTGCTGCTGCCTTTTCATCGTGTGTGTGTGTGTGTGTGTGTGTGTGTGTGTGTGTGTGTGTGTGTGTGTGTGTGTGTGTGTGGGCGTGCGTGCAGTTGTGTAGCGCGTCATCCACAGACGGAGACGTTCCGACGCAGGAGGACATCCAGCTGCTGAAGAAGGCGGTGGCAAGCCAAGCAGTGCTGGTAACACTCACTCACTCGATGAATCAATCGGTAGGGATGCAACGATATCCAAGTGTCACGGGATCAACCTCACCATACCATATCGCAGTCAAGTTGACGGTGTGTGTGTGTGTGTGTGTGTGTATACAAGCGCGCCTATTGGCTGAGCGGCGCAAAGTATCGCGGTCTAAGGCTGCGTTCGGTCGCGGGCGGACTCGAACGTCCTCCGGCGATGAGCGTGCCTCTCAAACGGAGGTGGCCAATGGAAATTCAACTGCACTAATAAATGAAGCACCAGGGGGCGCTGTGATTGCACCGATGGAAAAGAAGCCGGCCTACTTGGCCGTTGTGCTTCTTTTAATGTGGCCATTGGAATGGTGCGATGTTGCCGTTCTCGTTTCATCCCTATCAATCAATCAATCAGTCCTTCAGTTCATGGAACCATCAGCCAAAGGATTTTTTTTTTCCTGTGCGCATATAGGCAACGAAGGACTCGAGGATGGAACCAAAGGTGACTCGGAGGAAATCGGATCTTCCGCAGGACGTTTACACCATCAAAGCTTTGGAGGCGCACAAGAGGGCGGAGCGTTTCCTCACAGCCAATCAGGAGGCTCTCAGCTTATAAGAGCGGCCGGCCCCACCCTCGCCGCTCGCCGCGGATGTTTGAGGAGGCGCCGGCCGCGCGCGCTTGACTGCGCGCCGATCGCGGGACTTCCGCCAGCCCCGCCACCTCCGCGATCCCAGGCTGTGCAGCAAGTTGCCCTCCAACCTTTTGGCTGATCGCAGTGTGGCTGCCGTGGAAACGGCACATGCACACTCGTATATCTTAGGATCAACCTCCACGATTTTTAACGGGTTTTTTTCCCAACCACTTCTGGGAGGCAAGCCGACAGCGCTGCCAGTCGTGACCTGTGTGTGTGTATTGGTCGCGCGTCAGGTCGCTTGTTTCACACATCTCATGAGATTCGGCCTTACACATAGTGACGCGGGCCTTCCCGTGTGGACTGAACATTTTTACACACACACACACACACACACGCTGAGCTCAGGCCGTGTCCTCGGAATACGTCACTTCTGGCGCGACTCGACCCCACGTCGTTTGAAAAGGCACATTAAGCCTGTCCAAACTCGATGCGGTCCCCCCACAGGCTACACGAGGACGGAGCCTTTGAAGGCGTCCAAGGGTCCGGCCTTGGACACCCGCAAATTGAATTTGGAGACCACGTGCGGTCCGGTCGCAGCAGAAGTGACGTCACGCGGCCGAAAACGCGGCCTCATGGACACGGCTATCGGTGACCCGCGACTGGTCGCTGACCCGTCCATCATTTGTCTACGTGTGCCCGAACATTGGCTGGTCACCAGCCTGTCGTCTCCACGAGCCCCGTAATTTGATCGACAGCACAATGTCAGCTGGGAGAGTCAGATGAGCTCCAGGGAACGGGTGGACGGGCAGCAAGTCCAAACAAAAGAGCAGCAGTCGTCAACTTTTTAATGCCAAACTGTCTTCATCCATGTCAAAAGCTCCACAAGTGTCCTGCCGCCACACCGGGAAAACAAAAGTGACATGATCACCGAATGTGATTGGAATGTATTAAACATCACATCGTAACGTGCTAAGTTTCTCGTTTGAATGTGACAAGTTTGACTTGCACATGTGGCCCCGCAAAATTCAGCAATTCCTTCCGCTTGTGCTCGCTGGCAGAGTCTCTGGCCTGGTTTCGATTCGAATCCCTTATACATACATACACACACACACCCTAAAACGTGTGTGTGTGTGTGTATATATATATATATATACACACACATATATATATACATACACATATACATATATGATATATCTAACAGATACATATATGATAATATATATATACATATACACACACACACTATATGTATATATATATATATACACACACACACACACACAGTATATATAGATAGATGGGTGTGTGTGTGTGTGTGTGTGTGTACAGTATACCTATAAACTTTGATTTTGAAGATGCAATCAGCTGGTCACCTGACCCGGAGGTCAATGTTAGCATGTTAACACATGAAATTTATCATGTGTTAATTTTGTGTGTGCTGTTGTTTGGCCGCAACATGTTAGCATGACAATGCAAACAGAGACAAGAGAAAATCAAGCGGATGAAACACACTGTAACTCATAAAAGGAAGCTCAGTCAATCTTGATGTTTGTCACGTGCGCATTAGCCAGGTGGAACATCAAAGAGCAAAAGGCATTTCCTCAGGTGCCGTTGAGGCCGGCGCGCCGCAGGCCAGCGGCGGCGCGGCGGTCGCTCAGCGTGCGCCGAACGACGTCCTCCCACTGGTCGTCGGAGATCTCTCGCGCCCACGCCGGCACGCCCGGCGACGGCAGAGCCACCGCCGCCATGGTCCTCTTCACCAGCTCCACGTGGGCTGCGGGAGAAGAACAGAAGACGTTTTGGCAGGCTGGGCCTCCGCCGCCAATCCAAATGCCGTTGTAGCCATTGTGGAGTCGGCAATTTGAGTGCATTCATTCATCGACACGGTCCCAAATCATCACGAGGAGATTTGGGGGAACTTGATCGTTTGATGTTGCGGTTTCGAATGCCTCAGCGAGAGCGTCTCCTCCTTCCTCGCGGTCATAAAAAGGCGGACTGACCGGCATCCATGGGGATGGAGGCGCGGCTCCTCTCGGCGGCCGCGCCGTCGGGGTCGTCTTCGTCGCTGTCAGAGGACGGGGCCTCGGGGAGGTGCAGACCCATCACCTGCGCCGCAAAAACACGCCATGAGGCCAAGACCCGCAAGTCAAAGTCGGCCCCGGGCCGGCCGGCTCCGACCTCCATCCTACGCTGGAGATTGCCGTCCCCCGCGGCGTCGTCCCCGTCCTGACTCAGGGGCTGGTACGAGTAGCCCGCCCCCCCGTCCTCATCTGCGGGGACCTCTTGGGCCGGACCCTCGCCCTCCTGATCCTCCTCGCCGCCGCTCCACGCCGCCGCTGCGACTGCATCTCCGTCATGCGGGCTCTTGTCGTCATCCTCACAAGGTGGGAAAACTCGCTCTGGTCCCATGGCGGGAGGGCCACCGCTGGGGGGAGGCAGCAAACGGTACCGCTGCTTTGTGATTTGCTCAAATGACCTTGAATCGTGTCATTGTTCTTCATTGTCTCGGTTCATCATTCATGCGAATTCACTGCTCATGTTAACGACGCGTGGCCAGCGGTCGACTCGGGTGCTCCTCGGGGGACACCGCGTCGGCGAGGCCTCCGCATCTGGCGCGAAACTCTCAAATCTCTTCGCAACGTCCGTGGAGTTCATCGGGGGTCTGCTGCTCGCCGTAAAGAATTGTGGCTAAGACGCCCCCCCCCCCCTTCTTGTCGACGATGGTTCGAAGCGAACTTGGCGAAACGTGCATTTGTACAGTTGCAACGAGCTATGTTCCGAGTACTTGCGCGTCTACTCGCACGGACACGAAAGGAAAAGTTGGGAAGCCGAAAGGAGAATCCGAAGAGAGCGTCGGAGTCCAAACAAGCGCATTTTAGCTTGCTCGTTTGCCTGGCGCCGCCGAAGCTAAGTGCTAACCAGCGCTTGCACTCCGCGATGTTGATGCCGCGCGACGTACCCCGGGTGACGCTGACACGACTGCAAAATGGAACTTTGCTCGACTCACCTGTCGTGTTTGCCAAATGTCCCGTCGGTGCGCGAGGAGCCGCCAAGACGCGTTACAAGCGCGGAGCGTTTGGACGTCGACGCCTGCCTTACGTCATAGCAACGCGCCCGTACCGCCTTCGCCTGAGTATGGCGTCACAAAGCTCAACGGCAACGAACTTCTGGCTGGAAGAAGGGAATAAATCTCTCAACCGTTTGTCAAAGTAATATTCATTCAAACAAAACAGAAGTGTTTGTCGAACAACATCTGGAGCGCACGCGAATTACCCATGCCCAGCACAGCACCCGTCCACCAAATTTTTCATGGTCTTGTGGGTCGACGAGTCTGGATTTCGGGCCATCAACCACGGAAAGAGGCAAAGGCTTGGGAATACTTCCATCCGCACACCCGGCCTTTCAAATAGGGCCTGTAAACAGCGACGGGAATTCAAAGCAGAGGGTTTTAAATTAGTGTTAGGGTTTCAATGTAGAGTTTCAACATAGGTTGAGGGCAATGTTGGACCTGAACGAGTTCAATGAACCAAAGTTGAAGAACTCGTTGCGTAAAGTGAACGTCCTGTTTTTTTTTTGTTTTTTTTTTTTTTGCTTGGTGAACGATTTCACAGGAACGGCGGTTCATTGTTGTTCAAGAGTGCAAGGTTTTCTCTTGTTAGGCGACAAAAATAAAACCCCGCAGAACACGCTGTCAATATTTATTTATCTCGAATCATTTGGTCACCAAGAGTCCAACGGCCTACAACGTCATCAAAATGAGACGCGTTCTTGTCGTCCGCACGAGCGATTTCGACCAATTTCCAATTCCCGCACTCCATCCTACGGCCCTCGTTTCAGGGCACTCACGTCGTAGAAAAGGAGGCAGTGTTCGAGAGCGCGTGGGAGTTCTTTTTCTTGGGTGCTTGTTTTTTTTTCATGTTAGCATCTTTTTTCTTGTTTATTTTGCCATTATTTTTTCTTGTTTGGGATTTTTAATTTTCACGCGTGTTTCGTAATGAGTTTTTGTTTGCAGTTTGTGTGTGTGCGTGCGTGTTTGATTTGCACCGAAGGGCGACCGTATCAAACTGACCAAACAGAGCAAAGGTTAAATAAAGTGCGCGTGGACACACGCAGTCGACTGACCCACAAGCAGCCTATACAGTGTGAGTGAGCGCGCGCGTGCGTCGGGGCAGAGAATAAATAGTTCAACTTTGCCCCCTTCGAGCCATTTTGCAGTTTCCCGCTCGTGTACAGCGACCCACCATGAAGCCGTTCCTGTTCCTGCTGCTGCTACTGCTGCCCGTCTGTTCAGGTTTCTTTTGCGCTTCTCAGACTAGGACGTGTTGTCGTGTGTCCCGTTCAAAGAGTTCCACCGCTTGTGTGCGTCCCAGCAGCGGAATTTCGCATCGACTGTTACAGCCGAGACCCGCTGGGGATGCAGCCGCCCGTCCTGAACTGCAGGAGTGATGTCGAGCAGGCGTGCTACAGCAGAGGTTCGAAGTCATCGCACACCGGCGACGAAGTAAGGCGCTTCGGACGTTTGACTTGGCGCTTTTTTTTGTGCTTCGCTGCGCAGACAACGGCGAGAAAGGCTGCGTGACGTTGGAAAAGTGCTCTCGTCCCGGATGGACGTGTTGCGACGGCTCCCTCTGCAACCTGTGAGCCCTTCGGCCAATAAACGAGCGCGGCGATCCGCCCGCTCGTCTCACTTAGTGATCGACACGTAAGAGCTCATTTCGCTCGTCGACGTCATTTCAAAAAGTGTGGAGGCAAAAGTATTGCAATGAAAATAACACAGGAATCAACCATTCAATCAAATAAAGCGTCATGCTCCTGATCATTAGATGTTAGGAGCGACACGAGTGAAACCTGCTCAACTCTCCGGTGTTCTTTTTCCCCACGGTTAGGGGCTGAAATTAACTATCGGCCCAAGATACCTCCTCCTTTTTGAAGCAAACCGTTGAACGGGCTGATATTTGAACATTGGTAAGAATGACGTCAGCACGAAGATTCACCCTCCCACCCCCCGCCGGAAAAACTCCGCAAAGTAATTTCAGGGCACGCCAGCCCAACAAAGTCGGCGAAGGGTGGCGGCGGGCACTCTATCCGCTATTTGTTTCCTGTCTTACTTGCTCCTTGTCCCGTTGGGTTTTCAAACACATTTGCCTCGCGATGTGAATGCTCATTTGTCTCTCCACGCGCCCCGCGACTGACTGGCGACCAGTTCAGGGTGCGGTCCGCCTTCCGCCCGAAGTCAGCTGGGATAGGCTACCGCAACTCCTCGTGACCCGGTTCCGACGTCGTGACCACACTGGGCTCCTTGGCATTCGCTCACGCTGGCCTGACCGCACCGGCCAGTACAAATGGCATAAAGACGATGAAATCAACACATTCTTGCTGGAAAAAAAAATCCAAATTTGGACTTTTACCCACTTCAATTTAGCAATCATCATTGCACTTTTTTGGCACACCAGCTTCAATCCTTCCGTATGGAAAGGCTTCAAAAATATATCAAGACCAGAAAATGTCAAAAGTTAGATTTTATACTGAGAGGAAAAAAAATTACCATGCAAAAAAAGGAACTACTCAACAAAAACTGATCATATTACATGGGGATTGGGGAAACAGAGCCGGTGACGTTTTGTCACGGCCACCAAAACATGGCTCACGGTGGCCCGATAACAAAAAGGCGCGATTGGAGGACCCGGCGCACACCGTCCACCCAAAAAGAAAAAAACAAGGAAGGTGCCCTCTAGGCAGCGGAACAAGCTGGGGCAAAATCACCTTTGCGGTCTGTGAGGTTCCAATAGAAAGGAGCAGGAAGCTGGCAGGTGGACTGGCTCACAGCCGCTCAACAGGATAGCAAGAAGACGTTTTAGCGCAAGCGCCGGCCACCCGAGTCGGGCGACTGGCAATGTTCATCCATTTCTTTTCTTGTTGGAGCGTGACGGAAGCAGCCGCCTTTCGTCTGCCGCCGTCAAACCCACGCAACGTTTCAGCTTCGGGCTGAACGCACAGTCTGTCCAAGGTGTGTGTGTGTGTGTGTGTGTGTTAAGAGCGGATTTGTCCCGATAATCAGGTCTGACAACCTTGAATCACCGAAAATACATTTCTACGCCAAAGCCACTCGAGTCATTTGACTCGCTAACGGAATGTAGCCAATCAGGGAAGCGCCCAGAAACAAAAGCAAAATATGCCCTATTCAAGGTTGGTTGGGGTTTTTTGGGGGGGGGGGGGCATAAAAGTGGGCTCCCGAGATGGCTGCAAGTATTTTCCAGATGAAGTCTTTTCTTTCCAACTTTTCCATCGTCCGCAATTCCTTGGGAAACCCCCGTGGAGCAAGGATGCATATCTGGGAGGTTGCCTTCTTGGTTTTTTTTTTTGAGAGATCGCACACACGCGCGTCATTTTGGCCTCAAAGGACGAGGTTGGTGCTGAAACACAATCTTCAAGCGCGTGCTGTTCCGCGCCGACGCGAACAGAGCGCACCACATCGAGCGGCACCAAACATGGTTCATTTTTTCTGTCTCGGCGCGCGTGCCGCGTCAGAGAAACAATCTCGGAAGGTTGAAAGAATGTTTTCGTGTCGAGCGGGCCCGACAGCCGCAAAGGTTTTTGGAATGTGGAAGCGCGAGAACAACATGCTCACCTAATGCCAACTACATGAAAACTCCACACGGAAGGGCGCCAGAGACTTTGGAACCGCAAACCTTAAAAACGCGACGCAGTCCCGCTGGACCGGCACACGGCGCCGCCGGAGTCGGCCGCATTTGATCGGCGAGCGAAGCCCGAGGAGATTTCCAAAATGTTCGAAATGACGCCCGACGTTGGCCCACCTTTGCCTCGCGGGCGGCCTACGAAGGGGGCGTGAGCGGCCGCGCGGCCGCATCGTCGTCGGATGCGAGCGGCTCGTCGTCATCGGGCGCATCGGCGGCAACTGGGTTGCGGTCGCCGCGCGCCGCCGCGTCATCATCAGGTGCGGCCGCATCGGCATCGGGCGCGACCGGCTCGTCGTCGTCAGCCGCATGTCGGTTGTCGTCGCCGCGCGCGGCCGCATCGCCGGCCTCCAAAGCGTCTTGGGGACTTTGCGAAGCGGACTCGGGAGGGGACGGGGATAACTCCGCGGAGGGAGGCGGGGGCGAAGAGTCCGGCGGCGGATTGCCCTTGTCGACCAAGCGCCATTGGAGGATGCTGGTGTCCTTGCCGCCCGTGGAGATCAGGTGACTGTCGTCGAACAGGAAGCTGACGTTGGTCACGTGACTGCTGTGAGCGCTGTACTTGTGGCTGGGAGCCTGCGGGCCAACCCACGGGGAGAATCGCGAGGCGTTAGCGGGGCGGCGGCGTTAGCGGCGCGCCGGTCGCGGGGCTCACCTTGGCGGTGGCGCACGGGTACGAGAAGAGGTGAACTTTGCAGAAGTCGTCGGCCAGCGCCAGCACCTTCCTGTTGTGCGAGCGGATCACGGCGTTGATGTCCGTCCCGTCCGAGCCCTCCGGCCACACGCCTGACGCGCGCGGACACACGAAAACCTTCAGCAAAAAGCCGATCGCCCGCCGGCTCTCTTGCGCGCCCGCTTTCGCACTCGGACGCACGTACAACCGGAGTGAGCACGCGCACTAACCGAAGACGTGGTATCCCAGCACGCACGTGTACGTGGCCCAGTCGATGTCTTTGCACTCCGAGCGATTTCGGATGTATTTGCAGCCGTTTGGAACGTCCCCTAAATGAGAAGGAGAAGGAGAAAAAGAGGAAGCCCAAGCCTAAACACGCACGCACATCCGTAAGAGCGCGCGCGCGCGGCAACGCGTGCACACTGACAGTAGAGAATCTCGTAGTCGCCAGAGTTGGACATGATGAAGTTGTTGTCAGGCGACCAATCCAAGTGTGTGATGTAACTGGAGTGACCCTGGAAAGACGGAGGAGGACTCATCAGCGGCTTGACATTGCAGGGTTTGTTCCTTCAAACGGCAACGGGAGACACGATGGCCAACGACACCCGGCGCGGCGGCCGCCGCCTTACTCGCTCGCGTTCCCCCGAAAAGCGGCCAACGAGGCGGCCTCGCGACTTACCGAGCACTTTCCGTATCGACTGTACTTTCGTCCTTGGTCGGCCACGCTGTACACGTAAATGAAGTTGTCGTGGGATCCCACCGCCAGCAGGGCGCCGTCTGCGCGCACACACAGTCGGACACGCCGCAGCCGTCATATTCCGCACTCGGTGCGCGCCCGCGGCGTTTCCCACATTGGCCGGCACGCCGCCCGATCGCTTAGCACGGCGCGGCGGCGGTCCTGCGCTTGATTCTGGCATTTGTGCTTTTCTTCGTCTTTTGAAATATTCAAAATATCCAAATATTCATGCCTCGGCCGATCATTCGATTGAGTCGTCCGCTAAAATCCATTTCAATTCAAACTGTTAACTTTTGAGTTGTGACCCAAATGCATTTTTATTGCTCGGGCGCTTTCAGATCAGCTGCAGCGAAGAGAAGCTGTTATCTGATGAACGATTCCATCAGTGACTGGGGTAATCATCCATGCCCGCCCCCAACCCAGTCACCGACTCCGCCCCCTGGATGTCACCAGACCGTTTCAGCAATTGACTCCACCCACCTACAGAGAAGCGCATGACAGACAGCTGCTCGTTGCCGTCCGTGTGGATGGCGACCAGGTCTGTGGTCTCGGCGTCCAGCACGAACCACCTGTGACACACACACACACACACACGGACGTCAGCCCCGCCCACCGGGCCGGCCAGCCCCCGCCCACCCTCGCCGCAACACTAACTTTCCCGAATGCGTTCCAATGACCACCACTCGCCCGCCGGGATGGAAGTCGGCGCAGTGGCCGTGTTCCTGCGGGAGGGGCACAACCGTCAATCGACAACAAAGACGCCCGAGCGGACGCGGCGTCGTCGGGAGAGCACGACGCGGTCGCCGACCTCCAAGCTGCGACTCCAGCGCAGCTTGTGATCGGTGGAATTCCACAGGCACACCAGACGGTCCTGGGCGCACGTCAGGAACAAATCCTTGGACGGGTGCGCCGCCAAGCCCCACAGCTCGTCCGTGTGACCCTGAAGACACGGCGTCCGCAGGCGTCACCGTGGCGCCGAGCCGCGCGCGCGCGCTGTGTCGGTGACCGGAAAGATGGCCGCCGGTTTTGAGCATTTCCGCCGTACCGTGTCCGATCACGCTATCCTTTCAGGAACAAAACTAACAAAAGCAAGAGCACGCTTGCTTCTTCCACCAGGGGGAGAAAAAAAAAAGTTGACCTTTTCTGCTCTTGAGTTAACCAGCAGCAGAACACGGGTTGCCTTGAGCAAAAACAAGAACCAACGAAAACGAGCCATTCGTGAAACAAAAAGGTCATGCGGACGGGGGACTTGATGCGGACACGGGTTGGGCGTTGGCGCCACCTCAAGTTGGATTCCAAACAACAAAAGAGCAGACCGACAAAGGCGGAAGTCATCGCTCTGTTTACGGACACGAAGAACGGCGCCCGCCGCGAGTGCTCCGGGAGAACGTCGGCGGGCGCCGTTTGCCATCAGGTGCGCGGCGCTTTCTCCCCACGCCCATTCGCCCTTTCCACCCTGGTCTGCGAGCACACGCGCCGACACTTGCCCGACTTCCAACACGTCGCCTGGCTCCATCGAGGCGACGAGCCAAGATCCCCCCCCCCGATGGCAAGGGGGCGCTCTAACCGGCGACGGCGGCCCTCACCTGCACTTCCACCGTGAAGCCGTCGTGGAAGGTCCCCCGCAGGATAAAGTTGCGTGACGTCCCCACCAGAAACTCGACCCCCTTCCCTTCGCACACGGCCCGGATGCTTCCGTATTGGTCCGGGACCTTCAGACACCGACACGCCGTGAGACGTCACGAGTGACAATTAAGTGTGCGCGCGCTCGCTCACGCGCGCGCCGCACCTCGATGTCTCGCTCGGCTCGGACGTGGTGGTCCCACAGGATGATCTTGCGGTCTTTTCCTCCTCCGCTCAGCAGGGTGCCGCTTCTCATCTGGCACAGGCAGAACACGCTGCCCTCGTGACCTTTCACCTGACGGCTGATCTGAAAGGCTGCGCCGCAAAAGAAGAAAAGCTCAAGTTTCAAAGCTTGCCGGGCCTCGGCGGAAACCGAGCAAATTGCAGAAATGAAAAGCAAAACAAAGAAGCGCCACTTTTCTTTTTGTCCGTCCCATTCTTGGCGTGTTCGAAAAGCGAGCAAAAAGGCAGTCGGACGGAGCTTCGAGCCACGCGGCGCTCTGCCGTGACCTCGCCCTCACCTCTCGGTCCTTTCCCAGAAGTCTCAGCGGCACTCCGGGTCCACACCAGCAGGACGCCTCCCGAGTCCCCGGTCAGAATGTCTCCGTTGTTCAGGAAGGCCAGGCACTGGATGAACTTGGGCTTCTCGTATTTCTGTCCAACGACACCGGCCGCGCGCACACGCACAAGACTGGAGATGCGCTTCGGGACTCAACCGCGCCGCGATTTCAACAAAGGCCGAAAACGGCGACCGTCGCAGATGATTCTGTTTCTTCCGCTCGTTGAATTTTTCGATCTGCGCGCGCGCGCGGAGGAAGGCGGGCGTAGCTACCCCGAAGATGCCCTGCTTCCGGGCCAGCGAGGTGCCGCTCCAGGCCCAGAAGAAGATGTGAGACTTTCCGCAGGTGATGATGGTGTTGGGGTCCGCGGGGTGGAACTCCACGACCAGGACCACGTCGGTGGTGGTCTGCAAAGCGCCGCCGCAGGAGACGAAGGTGAGGCGGGACGCAAAAGAGCCTCAAGGGGGGCGGGCGGCTGCGCGCACCTTGATCTCGGCCATCTTGGACTTCTTCTGCCAGTCCCAGACGCTCAACATGTGGTCGTTGGAGTCGTCCACCACGCTCAGATGCTGGCCCGAGTCCTGAGGCGACAAATGCGCGGGTGAGCCCGGGAGGGGGGGGG